AAATAAAGTGCTGTTATAAATAAAAATTATCTCGCGACGTTATTAACAAATAAAATATCTTAAAACTTTAATAAGAAAATATTACTGGAAATTTTTGCTGTATCTACTATAATATATAAATAAAATACACTCGTTATTCTCAAATAAAATAGTTTATAGGTTAGAATAGGTTGCTGCTCAACATCATATGTTCACATAAATTAAAATAGACGAACAATCGCGAAATTTTCCACAAATTTACACATTAATTTTTCACACGTAATTTTAATTATATATTTTTATTTAAATAAAATACATGTAATTTTCGAGTTATAAAGAATTATAGACGCATACATCACTTGTCGGTACTACACGCTTCGAATTTTGCAAAAAAAATAATATTATCCCACAAAAGCACGAAAAATGACAATGCAAAAAACATATAATATCGCATTATCGCGTTCGATGCATTGATGGATTAAAGTGGATTCTATAAAATATTTTTCATCGCTTCAAAAACTTCGTTACCTCACGCATCCGCTATACAACCAGAAAAGACCGAAATACTAAGATGGCGTATCTACCAATTCTTGTATAATGAACTAGAGATGGAGAACTATCGATAGCACTATCGATTATTATCAGCTATCGAGATTTTTTGCAGTTTTCGATAGTGATGTTTTTCCAGTATAAATTAATCGAAGATCCATATTAAGGTCTAATGCACGTTGAATGCATTGTATATACAGTATCCATTGAAAATTCTATTTTTTTAAACAATGGCTGCGTTTAGCGGACTCCACAGTTAAGTGAGCTGTTATTGGTGTATTTTTTTAAATAATCCAATCAGAATTTTAAATTTGGAAAAATACGTCAATAGCGCTCTCATTCAACTGTTGAGTCCACTGAACGCAGCCAATGGTCAGCAGACTCAATTATTGCGGAGCGGATCCGTGAGCGTTTGCTGCTATTGGTGTACTTTCTTAGAACATCCAATTCTAATCGAGTATTCTCCTTATATTAATATAGGGCTATTATATATATAATTGATTGATTTCCTACGACTTAAGACTCCATGACCAATATAAGGATATTATATAATATATATAATTGATTGATTTCCTACGACTTTTATGTAGAAGATTCTTAAGGCTAGGTTTTCACCTAATGCTCATTTTCAGCGTCAAAGGTCACGTGATTAAAATTGACGAATATTAAGCGTTAATTTTGATTACGTGACCTGTTTTAATGCTGAAAATGAAGCCCATAGAAAAACGTAAGGCCGCAAGACATAATTAGTAAGGAAATCATAACATTGGATTCGCTATTGGATTACAGTATCTACTGTGATTGGCCAATTTGCTTACTGCTTATGTGTTACGGCCTTACGTCCTTGTATGTGCCATAGGCTTAAGCGTAGTAGCGTCAGGCGAAAACCAGCTTAAAGCTTTATATCCATGATGCTAAAAATCGGTCCGAGACCTTGGATGAAAAAAGAATTGATTAATCACAATGATTATGTGATCAAATTGTTCAAATGTAATTTATTAATTCTTTTTCTGTCCAAGATCTCGGATTCTAGCAAGATCAGATTTCTAGCATCGTGGATATCGGGCTTAAAGCTCAATGTTTACGATATTAGAAATTAGTCCGAATTCTCGATCGAATTCTTCTCCGGATCGAAAAATGTGTAGCCAATCAACTTGCCGATTTTTCGTAAAAATTGTAAGCTGATTGGCTATACATTTCTTAATTTGAGAACTTGGACTGAATTTTAGCATCGTAGACATTGGGCTTAAGAGAAATGTGTGGACGCCATTTGGTTCAATACCTGTATTCAAAGTCCTTCCTTATTTTAAAGGGCCCCGCACAATAAAAGGAACAGGGAATGAAGAATAAGAATTATAATCTATTATGTATTGTGGCTACACAGTTTCCGATAAGTTGAAATTCTTATTCTCTGCTCCCTGTTACTCCCTAAGAATAGAGGAAGCTGCCATGAACGATTTCTCGATTCTCCAAGGCCTCCTTGTTTCATAAACGGATCCCAAATTTCTCTTTCCAGAAAGAGGAAGAAATATTTTAGGGATTTTAGTACTTGAAGACAGCACGTCATAATATACAGTATATGTATACATAATATCGTGAATTACGAATAAATTATTCCCCTGTTACAGTCGAATAACAGGGGAATGCTCGACTGTAATTGGTTTTTACATTCTGATCCTGTTTAAACCCTCGGGGGAAACTAGTCTAATAATGGACAAAAATAAAACAAATAATGAATTCAATTGACGTACTGATGTACATTAAAACTGCCGTACATACACAAAATAACATAAATATATGTTAACAAATAAACATAGAAATCGATTAAATTGTGAAATACTCAATACATTTTATTGTACTATTAGGTAAAATATGTATTTTGTAATATATATTTTATATAAATATTTGCATTTAATTTTTATGCTCAAATCAGTGTACATACAATAGATCTGTTCGCGTTGCTTGTACTTTTGACACTCGGCATTTTCACTTTCTTTCTTTTTAAGGCAAAATATGTATCTATCTCATTTTAAGTGCAAAAATATTTGTTAATATGCAATGCTTCCAATCGAATTCGCTATAATGCTTATTATAGAAGAAGGAGAAAATGCTTTTGGCGCAGCTTACTTCCGAAAAAAGCTATCGAAAATAATTATCGATACAATAGATTTAAATTAAAAGCTATTGAAAATAAAAAGGCCGGTCTATTTCTATAGAAAGAGAGATATAAAGTGTGTTAAACAAGAAAAGATTTAGTACCAATTTTACGACGCGAAACAGGCCAGTATTCATTCTTGCTTTTAAAACTGTCTTAAATAATGGGTGAGTTCTAGACGGCAAAGCGGCTAGGCATGCTTACCGAGCAATTGAATATGATTAATTGGATCTATAAGTAACAACCAATTATGCTCATTTGCTCGGCAAGCAGGCTAGCCGCTTTATTAACTTGAGCGCGCCCATTGTCTTAAAATGTTAATACAGTTCTCGGATTGACTTAGGCCGAAATCAAATGCATTGAAGATTGAGATTGAAGATTAAAGATTGAAATTTTGAAAATAAAAACGGGCTACGAATACCGTTCTATGTTTCGCGTTTCACAGTTGGTAGCCTTTGTCTCCTTCGCGACATTCATAGAAAGAGACGGCGGATATTTAGAGAGAGATGCAAACTGAGCATACCAAGTGTTCCCTTTCACTATGTGCTCATTTTCAGCATCAAAATAAGTTATGTGATAGAAACTGATGAATATTAAGCGTTAATTTTGATCACGGGATTTATTTTCACGCTAAAAATGAGCATCAAGCGTGAGCATGAAAAAACACCTTTAATTTTAATATGTATATACATACATGAAACGAAACTTAAGCCTGCGGAATACGGTGGCAAAATTCTAATTCAGCTAGAAATCCAACAGGAAAACAAGCATCATATGTCATTGGCTTTATTTTTTAAAACTATCGAAAACTATCGATAGTCAAGCTCTAAACACGGTTACTATCGATTGTGGCGATTATTGATAGTTTTCCACGTCTATACTGGATGCTTTCTATTTGATGACACAATTGACACAAGTCGACACAAGCGTCGTTCTATCCTTGTTGATATTCAGAGAGTGACAAAGATAAAACGTGACTGTGTCAACTTGTGTCAACAATGAAGATAATAGAGCGGCGCACTCTTCTCTTACACTTTAGTTATTTTTTCGCGTCAGATGGCGCTGTAGTTCTTCACAAAAAATGTCCAACATGATTGGATAAAATTAATGATGTTGTATTAATTCCAAATTTTTATTTAGTTTTATTCGTAATTTTGCTCTTATATATATATATATATATATATATATATATACACATAAAATAATATATTTATTATTAAATAATTGTATAAAATAATATATTTAATAATATATAGTAATAAATACAAAATTATAATTATATTTCTGAGACGTGTAACTTATAATTCCTTTACTTATTTTTAAATGTATCTCCAAGATTATATATTAGAAAAAAGAATAATACGTTAATTATATTATAGCGATCAATAATTCCTTTCAGTTTATCGATATCAATAAAGCTATTACGTAACATTTTTATTTTCTAAAACTTTTAAAGTAAATTTCACTCTAAAGAGTGAAATCTTATTCTTAAACATTGAAAATTGAACCACTTTTTTCAAGGACTGATTCAATTTTTCTTCTTAGAATAAAATTCAATTCCAAAGAATTTAGAGAAAAATTTATTTTTTTTCTTAGAATTCATCTTCTCGGTAAGAAGTGATCTTTCTTCTCTGCGACGTGTGAAAACAGAAAAAAAATGAACCGTGCAAGAAGTTCAGCTAAAAAGAATACGTTCAATTTTGTACATATGCTAAAAAAATATTATGCGGGGCCCAAAAACTCCCTTCGTTATTACATTCCTTATGACACTGTCACTCGAACAGTCACGTGATCTTTGACGCAGACTTTACTCCATTGCTCCGTCTCGCGCATCGGTCGTGGGTCGCGACCTCGGACACGGCGCGGCTGACTCGACGACGCGACAAGCGCCGGCCGAGCCGAGTCAGCCGAGCGCGCATCATTTCAACAGACAGCAGAGGCGGCGCGGCGGCGCGCGGCACAAGCCGACTATATAGAGGCTCGCGGGCACGGCTTTCAGTGCGAAGCCGGGTGCCGCTCGCGGTGGGGATATCGTTGCGTACCGCGTCCGTAAGGCCCTTGCGCGTGCTAACGCTCGCGCGACGCGCGTCGGTGCGTCGTCGTCCCCACAACGACCACGACCCACGACTAGACTCTACCCCGGGTCGAACGCGCGCCCCTTACGTTTGCAGCACACAGTAACGTGTTTTCACGTCCCGTGACGAACGCCACGCAACGACGCGGGAAGCGGGGTACGGGCATTTTTTTTCTTTCTCGCTTTCTTTCTTTCTCTTTCTCTCTCTCGGGGCGCTGCAAAGGAGGAGGAGGGGAGGGGGGAGGGGCCTGACGGCGCGAGCGACATGAGAGCGTAAGGAGCGGTAGCGCGCGCGTTGTTGCGGTCTATCGACTCCTCGGACTCGAGCGGGGATAACCGAAGTGCGCGGCGCGAGGCACGCTGGAGGTGCCGCAGCCGTACGTCGTGCCATGCCAGTATAAATATTGTTCTGTCGCTCGCGCGAACCGCAGCTTCTCTGCTCCTTTCTTTCACGCTGCTCCTCTCTTTCGTTAATATCTCTTCCCTTCTTCTTTTCTTTTTTTCATCCTTTCCCTTCCTCATTGTCTCGTCGCTGCTGGCCGCTCGTTCACGTTCGCCTCGTCACACGCACGATTCAGCTCCCCCGACGAAATTGCCGAAATAAAAAATATACGGGCGCGAAGTATTCGAGTGATCGCAGTGATAACCGCGATTCGTTCAGTGATAGAGACTTCCCGCGATAGAATGGTCGGAGTAGTTATCCCATGTAATCCCGCAGGACGCGAAACGTCCGGTGAGTCGCGGTGACCGTGCCGCTCTGTCATCTGTTTCCAAGAAAAGAGAGAGAGAGAGAGAGAGAGAAAGAGAAAGGGAGAGGGAAAGGAAAGAGGGAGCAAGAGCGAGAGGACTGGCCTCTACCTGCGGGCGAGCGACCGAGGCGAGATCCGTGTGTATGTGTGGTAACCCGTGGTATGGCTCGTCGTCGATGGTTCCTCGCCGCCTTTATTACAGCGGAACCCGAATGCGTGCGCGAACGCGAGCGTACCCCTCTCGCCTGACCGGCCTACCCCGCCACCGTAAGGCTGCGTTCACACGTGAAATTGATTTTCGCGCGGGGACCGTCATCCGGCCGTTCCTCGCCGAGGAGTCGCATTACCACGGTTAATGAACGGAACCAACGCCGGCCGATCGTCCAATCAGCTTTTAGGTAAGACCCGCCGGAAAGATTTTCGACAATAGACCTATTCTTTTTAGATCAACTTGCATCGTTCATCGTTCTCTTTTTTTTTTCTCCGATAGGAAAATATATATATCAAATTCAATTAAAGAGAACAGATCTCATCATC